GTTCCACCTGTGGGTTGCTGCTCTCAGCTTTCGAAATATGGGCGCATATAAAGTTCTATCTTTATGGTTACCGTTTCTCCACTTTAGTCCACTTAGGCAGTTCTATGGATATTATTCCTGTTGTTATAAACTTTTATCATACTGTATGTTTCCGTACAGAGTTATACATACTGTTGAGTTAATATTTTCCCACAGAATCGATAACATACCAATCGCAGTCTTATCAATTATTTATTTATCAATGCAGTCCTTATCATTTCATAGTTCCGTTGGTGGCATGACTATATATTACATTATGAAAAATAAGATTTCACTCTCCAAAACATGTTTTGAGCATGTGTTTTCCTAACTTAAACTTTCTCTGATATATTTTTTTTTTCAATCCGCATCGCGTGCGAAAACAGTGGGAAAGCTAGTCATAACTTAGCAATGTTAATGCGTAGAAAGTTATATCCACCGTTTGTCCTGGACTTGAACCCCAAACAATGGTTTGTAACAATGGAGAAAAGCTTATAAAGTGTAGACTGTTCTGCCTTATTAGGTAACTTTATGCACGGTCGCAGGTTCTTTTCTATAGGCACTTTACTAGTTCTATGAGTAAAAAGTAAGATAAGCTCTTTAAATAAGATAAAAAACAAAAGGATCCTCCTGTAAGGAAGACGAAACTCATTTTCTAGTCATTTTTCTATATATGTTAATTTTTTTGGTACATGTATAGAAGTGCCCATATAAAAGTGCTCTATGAAAGACTGATGGGATGTTTCGTAGTAACAGTTAAAAAATTACAAAATACTTATTAGGTTTGTGGACTTGTTCGAGGAAGACACGGGCAAGGTACTTTTAAGTTCTACTCGCAGAATTGATGGTGGAATTAGACTTTAAAATTAACTGATGATTTATTACAGGTTGAATGACTATACTACTGACGTTTACTAGGGCTAGTTTGGATATTGATCTACGGATTGGTTTTTGTGTATCTTAATTATCTTTAAATTACAATTATGATAAAAAGGTTATATTTCGAAGTAGTCCGTGGTAAAGACCCCTTTTTATCGAATTATTTACATCTGAAACTTCGTAAATAGTTTCATCTCAACGTAACCTACAACTATTTTATTTACGAAATATCTTGGAATTGGGGCGTTTTAAATCTGGAGGGAGGCAAACTTTTTCTATTTAATTATATACTAAAAACTCGTAAGTAAGCGAAATTTTATTTATTCGCTTTACTTATTGTATCGTAAGATAATTTGATCACAAAATTGAGGAAAAAGGTGGCCTTAAAAAATATTGAACCATTTGACGTGACCTGTACCACCAAATTTTTAAAATAACAAGGTTATATAGGACAAACGGTCCAATATTTTTGTCGAACTTATGCTTAAGTTATCCTACGGTTCGAGTGGAAAGCAAATGGGTATTTACGAATTTTTAGTACCTAATTAAATAGACAAAGTTTGCTCTCCTCCAGATTGAAAACGACATAATTCCAAGAATTTTCGTAAATAAAATAGTTGTAGGTTACGATGAGATGAAACTATTTACGAAGTTTCAAGCGGATGTTAATAATTCGATAAAAAGTGGTCTACACCTCGGACTAAAAACATGAACACACAAATATCTTTGTCAAAACTTCTATCCAAGTCTATCCACTTAAGTAGCAAAGTATCGTTGACGTATGTAATCTCCCCCCCCCTCAAAAAAAAATGTATTTCTGTCTCATTTCTTGTTTTAAAAACTGTGCAAGCGAATGTGTAATCATAAATATTGTAGGCCCTAAACAAATCTATACGCGTTAATGCCTGTTTTATGTTTTGCTTCTTTTTCATTGGTTTTTAATAACTAAATGCTTTTCTCCACATCAGTTATCTCAAAAACTGATTATTTAGCAGTCATATTTAAACCAAATCATTGACCCCCCAGGCTCCGAATTGGAATGCTTCGATATTTATTTCGAAACCTGAAAAGAATGAAACCTGATATCTTCGTAACTTAAAATGTTCATCCTAAATACCTAAAATAAAAACAATAAAGTTAAAAGATATTAATGCAAAAATAACGATTACTTAATTATACTTGTAATACCATTTTGAATAACTTATGTTTAGGGAAAACTTTAAGTGATTATTATCAGAAAGAGAAAAAAAAAAAATTCAGGAGTCCATTTACATAGTTTAAAACTTTATCTAATTAAGGGAATTCATTGAAAACTACATTTAATTTTTGAGATGGATTTTTTTTATGGGAGAGGGGAGTCCAAATTATATTTCATAAAATTGGGTGGAGGGAGGAGGGGAGTTGTTGGGCAGATGTACCCTATAATATAATAATTTGAACAATATATTTTACAATTGTCCTGGAAATTGAATGAATATATATTTTTCATTTTCTTAACTTTTAAAGTTTTTCACATACAGTAGTGTGTTTTATGCAGTCATGCATAAAACCCCACTACTGCAAACGCCCGTATAGCCCATTAGGCGAGGTAGGGTGGAATATAAATAAATAAATTTTTCGTTTGCTTGATGTGTTTTTGGAAACGCTTTATGTTATATATTTATTCAACATACTAATTATTTAACTTAAAATTAGTAACAATACTTTATAAATAATGTTACTTAAAAATAAATCCATCTTTGCCTCACCTTATTAAGGGAAGGGAAGTAATTATGATGTAGTTACATATTTTTTTTTTATTGTTACTGTTTTGTGTACTTATTCGAAATTTTATTTATTTGAATGTAAGACTACTATTTTACCTATTTCAGATAATAATGCGAGTAACAAGAAAGAAATTCCTTACCAATAAATTGAAATATTTAAAAAAAAAATTTAAAATTGATGAAATGCGGTTTTTTTTTTTAAATAATTTTTTTTCCATTTTACACTTATTTTCTTTACAATTCATTAACTTAAGCAATAATTTGTTTTAATTTAAATCCATTTTCAATTTAAACAAATCCATCTAAATTTTTAACAAAGTTGTTTAAAATTAAACAATTTTTTTTTTTGTTAATTCATATTCTCGGATGCCAAAATTTCACTGGTATTTTTTTCCATGATATTATCCATCAAAATCCATGTTCGGTATGCTGCGAAAAGTAGAAGAGAAAAAGTTATTTTCTTTGACAGATACGACTAACGGTGGCCCTGCATACATACATTAACCGTTCAGTCACTAACTAAACGTTAACTAGAACACAAAAAAACAAAACATAATTGCCCATGTTTTCAGTTCATTTCTTTTTTTTTTTTTTAATGCCTAAATTAATCGATTTATTTATAAATATTCCCAATAATCGCAATAACGCAGCTATTGGTCAATGCTAATTCTTGGAACCGGTTATATAATGATTTCTTAATTAATTCTTAGTTGTTTGGCAAAATGTATTATTCTAGTAAACGAATTGTTTGTTAATATTATTGGTTAAATTAATAAATTGGTTCATTAATGTTTTAGTTCTTATTAATGAATTACTAATAACGTTAACTGACGTTAACTCCTACTCGAAAACCAATGAATACATTTATATATTTCTCCTCATTATTTGTGGTTTCTCCGTTTTTCAAATTATTTTTTTGTTTTGCTTTTATATATATAAAAATTAATTAAGTTTTAAGATGTGACTCCATATTGCTCCAGTTGATAAACATAATAAGATTTTGTTTCAAATTTAAATATGTGACTAGGCGATATAGAAGTATGCCTTTTTCTTATTACTGGGAATTCAATTGCACAGGAATTTGTTTTTTCTTTTTTTTTTTTTTAATTTTTTTTTTTTTAAACCTACTGTTAAATATATTTCTGTATGAAGGTGTGATAAATGTATAACTGATTATTTTACATAATTTATTTTTTTTTAAGTGTTAAATTTTTAGTCCTGTAGGAGGAGCTGAAAAAAAAATCGACAACATGATTTTAAACAAAACAAAACGTTATTTAGAGGCTTAAAAGCCCGCTTCAATTTTCACTGTAAAAAAAATGTTTATCTAGTTTACTATGCTACAATTGGCAATTCAATCGTAGATAGCTCGAAATCGGTATGTAAGGTGTTTGTAAGCGACATAACAAGGTGCTTTAGTTATTAGTCATAGTATTTTTAAGTTATTAAAAATTTACTGGTCTCGTGGATTTATTATTAATTTTTTTTAATTGAATATTTTTTTTTAACTTATTGAAAATTAAATAAATAAAATTTAAAAGTGTTATAGTCCATTGTGCATACTCCTTTTTATCAAATTATTAACATCCGGCTGAAGCTTCTTAAATAGCTTCATCTCATTGTAACCTACAAATATTTAATTTACGAAAATTCTCGGAATTTTTCTGGAGATCGTCAAATTTTGTTTATTGTATTAGTTACTAAAAACACGTAAATACCCATTTGCTTTCCACTTGAATCGTTAGATAATGTAACCAAAAACTCGAGTAAAAATGAGGCCTTCAAAAATATTGAGCCGTTCGACGTGATCTATACCCCCAAAATGTCAAAATAATGAGGTCTTATAGCTCAAACTGCCCAATATTTTTGTAGGCCGCCATTTTTCTCGAATTCGTGATCAAATTATCTTATGATCCAAGTTGAAAGCAAATGGGTATATGCGAGTATTTAGTACCTAATTAAATAAACAAAGTTTGACGATCTCTAGATTGAAAACGCTCCAATTCCAAGAGTTTTCGTAAATAAAATATCTGTTGGTTAAAATGAGCTGAAGCTATTCACGAAGTTTCAGGTGGATGTGAATAATTTTATAAAAAGGGTTCTGTATCACGGACTATTAATAACAAATCGATGGGACCAGTAAAATTTATGAATTTATACTTCCAGTAAAATTAATAAAAGTTAATGTCCTAGTCTATCAAAACACAATGATTTGACTCTAAATTAAACTATTCTCACTATCTGTGCCGAGTGATTAATTTTTGATTAGATTAATTAATTATCTGGTCAACATTAATAATCCATTATTTATAGGTTTAAAAAATCGCTTTACCCAAAATGAGTGCAAAACTTGATACTGCTATCTCGGTATTGAATTACTCACCCTTGTTTTGGTTCATTCATCGCTATCAATGCACCTCGTTTGCATAATAACTCCCACTTAGGAACTCTTATTTCCTTATCTTATCAGCATTAGGTTTCGGTCGAGGCGGGCGCAGCGGAAGTCTGATGTAAACCATTACTTATCTTGGGTGTGCATCAGGGGCGACCTTGTTCGAGGCCTTGTCGCTCTTCGCCCGATACGAAAGCGTAACCGGAGAGCTGTCATCCAAGATCTTTCTGAATGTCGTCTTCAATGGAACACCTGTTCTCGGCTCTGGCGGAACATATCGTGATGAACAACCATCAACTAAAATTGTCTTATTTTCTTTCATCTCTAGTAAAAGTTATATTTATTTAGGTTATTTGATCCTCTGTACAATAATTATAACAGGGAAGTATTTACTTCAATAATAATTTTCAAAACTATTGCACGTTCTGGGTTAAACCAAATATCAGTAGAATGCCTTTGGATCCATACACAGTAAAGTATTTTGGTTTAGAGCAGAGATGGATGAATGCTACATTGAGTACTAAGTACCAAATAGTTACCTTTTTTGAGTACCAAAGAATTTAATTACAACTTCAATTGATGTCAAACGATTAACTGAAGTAGTTATTGAATTCCCAATAGTAATTCAATTTGAGTAAAATACTTTGTACTCGGTACTCAGAGTAGCATTTGCACATCTATGGTTTAAAGTAACTATAAAAAAAAGAAAAAAAAAAGAATATTTAAGTGATTAATGCGTGTTTTCACATTTGTAAAGTAACTTAGCTCGTACTTTTTCTCGTTTTTTTTGTTCACTATTGAAGGTAGAGATTTGTTTCTTCTTAAGTCCTAAGGGAGATTATTTTGCAATGAGATATATGAAATCTAACTGCCTTTCTCTCGTAAAATTCCATTTGTTTATGTATGTGTAATGTTTCGAGATTTTATTTCCCATCTTCAGACTATTATCTTTTATCCTCTCATTTATTCGTGAGATTTGTCATTATTTTTAATATATAATAATTCCTTATTTTGTAGTGCGGGTCCTTCGCTTAGGGAGAGCCTAGACAGTGCTATTTTATTTTGTGTTTCCGTGAGAAGTGAACAAATATTTCTCTTTTTTTTTAAATGAAAATTTTTTTTGCGTTTTTCATTTTGACAATCAAAATACCTATTTGGTTTCGTATCTATTGATCTGTCTGTATTCGAATTCATGTGGCAGTCATAACGATTACTACTGATATTTTGTTTGGGCGAATTTTCGGGTTATTACAACGATTATGGATTCTCAAACTGTTAGTCTCAAGCGCATGAGTACTGACGCATCTGGGTTTTATGAAAATAATATATATTTTTTGTTTATCTCTTAATGATATTTATAACTGTATTTTTTTTTATTATTAAAACACTTTATTCAGAAATATTACAATTTGTCACAGTTAAGGACACTTATAATAGAGTTCAGAGATTGCATTCATACCGTATATACAAAAATATAAATAAATAAAGTAATAACAAAAGAATAAGAAGAAAGAACAAAAGAGTAAAGAAAAAAAAATAATATATATACACATAAGTAAATAAAAATAGAAATAAAAGTAAAACAAACACCTTATATAAAACATACATTATTTACAATTTGCCAGGTGATCTCCGAACCAATCCTGTCCCCTCCACATGTGGAGGGAAAAGGGAGGCCTAGGAGATCCCTACGCTTCTCCCTCAGCCACTTCACTGGTATTTTAAACCAGCGGAGGATGAGTAAGAGCGCTACAGCCACAGACACTCATGACTTGAGTGGAGAATCTGGCCATTGCTAGAACTCCAAAATATCCATATTTACAAAAGGTCTCGTGGCCACTGCCGCTTTAACCTACGAAGGGGATTGTAGGGATGGGTGGTGCTTGATAGGGATTGTACAACGGGATTTGGGTGATGAGAAAGGTTCTGGTGAAATTTGGAAAATTTGGCTGGGATAAGATCAAGAATAAATGGGATATTAAGGTCATGATGTAGGGTTTTATTGGTTACATAGAAGGGAGCATTGACTATTGTACGGAGGACTTTAGACTGAAAGGATTGAATGCGTTTGATGTTAGAAAATTTGGCTGTTCCCCATAGTTCTAGTCCGTAAGTCCAGATGGGTTTCAGTATTGTCTTGTAGATCAGTAATTTGTTTTCACCAGAAAGTTTAGATTTTCTATTCAGTAGTCTATATAGCTGGCCATATCGTCTGTTAAGTTCCTGTCTTTTAAGTCGAGTATGTGGATTCCATGTTAGTCGTCTGTCTAAGAGAAAGCCAAGATACCGGACTGTATCTGAGAAAGGAAGCTGGATGGAGTTAAAATAAACTGGTGGGCAGGTATTACGCCGAAGGGTGAAGGTAATGTGTTTACATTTAGATTCGTTTACCTTAATGCGCCATTTCTTACACCAGTGTTCAATCAGGAAGAGGTGCCTTTGTAAGTTTGCGGACGCTGTTTCAGGATCTGAGTTGGAAGAAAGGATAGCAGTGTCATCAGCGAAAGTTGCCAGGAGGGTATCGGGATGGACAGGAATATCAGCGGTAAAGAGAATGTAAAGGATGGGGCCCAAGACGCTGCCTTGAGGAACGCCAGCCTCAATTGAGTAACAGTCGGAGAATTCGGTGCCACAGCGAACTCGGAAGGAGCGGTCGGAAAGATAGGATCGGAGTACTAGGTATAAGGACTGTGGTAGATGGATTTTAAGCTTGAAGAGTAATCCGGCGTGCCATACCCGGTCAAAAGCTTGCGCTATGTCCAGAAATGCACCCGAGCAATACTGCTTGCTTTCTAGGGTTGAGGATATATGGTCAACAACTCGGAGTCCTTGCTGGACAGTGGAATGTTGGGAACGAAATCCGAATTGATGAGTAGGAAGGTTATAGGATTCAATTATAGGTAGGATTCGTTTCAGTAGGATCTTTTCAAAAATTTTTGAGAGGATTGGGAGTAGGCTAATTGGTCTATAGGATGCTGTATTGTTGGAAGGTTTGCCTGGTTTCAAGAAGAGGACGATGGTGGAATGTTTCCATAAAAGAGGGAAGTGGGTAGTTCGTAGGATGCAATTGTATATATATGTAAGAAATGTGATGGCTTTAGATGGAAGTTGTCGAAGGATCTGTGGGGTTAGAAGGTCATATCCAGGAGATTTGCGAGGTGTGATTTTCCGTAAAAGGTATTTGACCTCAGAGGGATTAACAGCTTTAGGTGGTAAGGAGAGTGGGATAGGTATTGAGAGGGATTCTTCTACTTTTACTGTGTGGCTGGGATGGGATTCTGGATGAGGAGCGAAAGTATAGGAAAGGTGTTTGGCAAATTCCTCGGCTTTATCTTCATCAGATGCTGCCCAGGAGCCATCATCTCGTCGAAGAGGGTGGGAAATATGATGGGATTTGAGGATTTTTCTGGTGATATTCCAAAGGGAATTATCATGAGCAGAGAGTGTGGTGAGGTAGGAATTGAATGATTGGGATCTGAAGGTGGCTAATTCTTTTTTTAATTTTTTACAGTGATAATTGTAGGAGTGGCGGTCGGCTGGATGTCTGGTACGTTGCCATAATAATCTGGCACGGCGTTTTATGTGGATTAGGTCAAGGAGGTGTTGAGGTAAATTATGTTTCTTAAGGATTTTTGAGGAGTGATCAGGGGAGGAAGCAGTCCAGACTGCTTCTTGAATTTTGGTAGTGAAGGAATGTACTGCATTGTCCAGGTCTTCAGAGGTTTTCAGGGTTACTCTGAGGTCAATTTTATCGGAGAGGATTTGATGAAAGAGTTTCCATATAACTGTATTAAAGAAATACATTTAGTAAATTTGAACATATGGATATAATGACGTGAAAACACTTGTTGAGAAACTACCCAATAGTAGTACTCTAACGATATGTCTACATTAGGAGATCACGGGGCCATCTTCTTTTCAGACTCCTCGAAGGGTTATCAGTAATTAAAGAAGAAGCAAGGTTAGAAACGAGAGGGCTAGGATGATTATGAACTTTGGAAGTATGGAAGGATAGGTATCTGGGTTGGGCCAGATCTGAAACATAAGAAACATTAAGTTGATTATGGATGGTTTTATATGTAACAAAGTTGGAAGCATTGAAGATTTTGCAAAGGATTTTGGATTGTAGGGATTGGATACGAGAGGAATTCGATGGTTTAGTGGAGCCCCATAGCTCAACTCCGTGAGTCCAAATAGGCCTTATATTATAGTCATGTATATGAGTCTTTTGTAATTAATTGGAGGTTTATAGAGTTTGTCTAGCAAGTGCTGAAGTAATCGGAAACGTCGAGCGGTTTCTTGTCGTTTCAGTCTGGTATGAGAAAATAATATTTAATTTCAGTATTTAATATTTAGGATCAAAGAATATAATTTCATATTTATTAATACTAGAATTAAAATCAAATTTAAGTTATTCAGGACAATGCTGTTTTTATTTGTTTTATATATACTATACCTATAGTGGGTTAATATTCTATTATATCGCCGTTTTATCATCTTTTTTTTTTTTTTTTTATTTATTTATTTTTTTTTATTATTTTTTTTTTTTTATAGTCTGGCAAGGGTGTTACAAATTTTCTTTAGTCCGCCGTCTGTAAAACTTATGTTTTTAGCTAGACAAGGGTCTCGCCGCAAAAATGTTATACAATTATTGACCTATATGGTTTCTCATATCAGTTTTATCAAATCCCTGTTGATACTTTTGCATATGCATGCTTTAACATATTTACATTGACACACCCAAATTTCGAAAGAGGCTCGTTCGTTTTCGCCTCAAGTTGGTGAAAGTCGTGTAAAAGCAATTCAGTATGAATTTTATCGAATTCCATCTACTTATTTTTCCACTTAAACATATCAAAACGGATTTTCAAATTTGGTATATTAAAATTTTACGTTGTACAAAATTCAACATATTTAGTTTATTATGAAATTTCAATTTGGTGTTTAGCATTATCGCCGTGCTGTCAACTGTCATGAGAATTAAACATAAAAATTGCAACCTGTAAGAGTTAATCCATACGTTGTTTGAAATTGATTTTTAATTAAGTGCCAAATAGAAATTGTTAGGAAATTATACTAATCTAATCGTATTTATCAAACATTTTGTGTATACGTATATACATAAACATGTTTGTGATATCTTAACTTTTTTATGTTTATGAATACTATCTGACCAATTCGTTTATTTATTATTGTTATAGCATCCTCTAGCGAAGGTTTTCTTCCTTACGGCATCGATGTCCTAGCCAAATCGTTTATTACGACCATATTTAATTTTAGAAA